ACACTACTAGTCACTGGAACTTCATACTTGGTATACTTGGTGTATGGGTTCATCTTGGTGAGGCGGTGTGTCGTGTATCAAAGTAGGTCACTCTGTTTTTGACCTTTGACCTGCATCAAAGAAAAAAATTGTCCGGGCTCTATCTCCTACACTACTAGTTATTGTAACTTCTTGCTTGTGGCATGGGTTCACTTGCATTGAAGGAGAAGCATACATCTGTGTACTTCTCAGATCACCATATTCTTGCCATAAAATACTGTTGAACTCATCCTAATCATAACTAGCATAGCATCATATTCCTTACGTATGTGACACCATATTCCTTACGTATGTAACACCTTATTGCTTACGTATGTGACACCTTATTCCTTACGGATGTGACACCATATTCCTTACGTATGTGACACCATATTCCTTACGTATGTGACACCATATTCCTTACGTATATAACAACACTTTTGTGGGGTATTGTTATACAATTTGAAAAGTAAAAGTTCTGGAGATGTTGTATGGTCCAAATATAAATTTATTAAAATAACTTTCTCTAGGTCGGTGGATGATTTCTGGAGTATCCAAAAACACACCCCTACAGTCCGATGCCTAGCTCCTAACTGATTACCAAACATGTAGAACCGTGATACATTGACAATTAACACAATAAAGTAAATTTGATCGACAGCTGTCACTTATCACTCTATTCTGACTGGTAAGTACCCGAACAGGTAAGGCAATTAGCCTGTCCTTTGTCCGAGACTTAAGTGTCATACTTGGTAAGACCAGTTAATCTCATTACGTAACATAATTGACTTGAAAGGTATAATGTATAAGATGGACACCAATATTACATGAGTTAATCTGACGACAATGAATCAAAGAAGCTACATTTACACATAGAGTTTTTCTTAAATGGTACAAATGTAATTAAATACCTTTTAGGTATGAAATTGTTACTGAACGAAATTAAATGGCGGAAGTTTGTAAGAGGAAATCCAAAATAATGAATGAGATAAAATGTTAAATTAATGTTCATAAATAGCACTATTATCATAAAATTCTTTATGATACGTATGTGACACCATATTCCTTACGTATGTGACACCATATTCCTTACGTATGTGACACCATATTCCTTACGTATGTGACACCATATTCCTTACGTATGTGACACCATATTCCTTACGTATGTGACACCATATTCCTTACGTATGTGACACCATATTCCTTACGTATGTGACACCATATTCCTTACGTATGTGACACCATATTCCTTACGTATGTGACACCATATTCCTTACGTATGTGACACCATATTCCTTACGTATGTGACACCATATTCCTTACGTATGTGACACCATATTCCTTACGTATGTGACACCATATTCCTTACGTATGTGACACCATATTCCTTACGTATGTGACACCATATTCCTTACGTATGTGACACCATATTCCTTACGTATGTGACACCATATTCCTTACGTATGTGACACCATATTCCTTACGTATGTGACACCATATTCCTTACGTATGTGACACCATATTCCTTACGTATGTGACACCATATTCCTTACGTATGTGACACCATATTCCTTACGTATGTGACACCATATTCCTTACGTATGTGACACCATATTCCTTACGTATGTGACACCATATTCCTTACGTATGTGACACCATATTCCTTACGTATGTGACACCATATTCCTTACGTATGTGACACCATATTCCTTACGTATGTGACACCATATTCCTTACGTATGTGACACCATATTCCTTACGTATGTGACACCATATTCCTTACGTATGTGACACCATATTCCTTACGTATGTGACACCATATTCCTTACGTATGTGACACCATATTCCTTACGTATGTGACACCATATTCCTTACGTATGTGACACCATATTCCTTACGTATGTGACACCATATTCCTTACGTATGTGACACCATATTCCTTACGTATGTGACACCATATTCCTTACGTATGTGACACCATATTCCTTACGTATGTGACACCATATTCCTTACGTATGTGACACCATATTCCTTACGTATGTGACACCATATTCCTTACGTATGTGACACCATATTCCTTACGTATGTGACACCATATTCCTTACGTATGTGACACCATATTCCTTACGTATGTGACACCATATTCCTTACGTATGTGACACCATATTCCTTACGTATGTGACACCATATTCCTTACGTATGTGACACCATATTCCTTACGTATGTGACACCATATTCCTTACGTATGTGACACCATATTCCTTACGTATGTGACACCATATTCCTTACGTATGTGACACCATATTCCTTACGTATGTGACACCATATTCCTTACGTATGTGACACCATATTCCTTACGTATGTGACACCATATTCCTTACGTATGTGACACCATATTCCTTACGTATGTGACACCATATTCCTTACGTATGTGACACCATATTCCTTACGTATGTGACACCATATTCCTTACGTATGTGACACCATATTCCTTACGTATGTGACACCATATTCCTTACGTATGTGACACCATATTCCTTACGTATGTGACACCATATTCCTTACGTATGTGACACCATATTCCTTACGTATGTGACACCATATTCCTTACGTATGTGACACCATATTCCTTACGTATGTGACACCATATTCCTTACGTATGTGACACCATATTCCTTACGTATGTGACACCATATTCCTTACGTATGTGACACCATATTCCTTACGTATGTGACATCATATTCCTTACGTTTGTGACACCATATTCCTTACGTATGTGACACCATATTCCTTACGTATGTGACACCATATTCCTTACGTATGTGACACCATATTCCTTACGGATGTGACACCATATTCCTAACGTATGTGACACCACTTTACAGATGTGACACCATATTCCTTACGTATGTAACACCATATTCCTTACGTATGTGACACCATATTCCTTACTTATGTGACACCATATTCCTTACGTATGTGACACCATATTTTTTTAAAATCACAATTTCCCCAGGAGAAGGAATACATCACAAGATCTGCTACTTCTCTACCAAGTCACTTTCAAAACGTTGGACTGTTATGCTATCAGCTATTAAAGACTGACTTCAGAACTACTGTGATGGAGACCGTGCACACAATGGAACCAACCAGATTCTTTGTTCTATGTGTTGTGAAGTGTGTCTTTTCCCTGTGTGTTGACTGTGAGTTACTTTAGATTTTTGCTTACTTTACTCGATTTTCAGTTTCCTTACTGTATGATTTTGATACATTTGTATGCACATTTAAGGTGTATTATTTACTTCTGAATACAATTTACCAGATTCTGGTATCACTCATTCAGAGATAATATGACCAATTCTAAATTTGAATCGGTGAAATAACCCATTTAAATAATTTATATCGCCAATTCAAATCAGGACTGTTGATTTTGCACCTAGGAATGGGTGATACCATTGATTCAAATTAGTGACTTTGCCTCTTTGAATCCGTGATATCACTTATTCGTTTGAAAATCTGATTCCTGATATTTCTTACTAAAATTAGTGATATTCACATTTATACCACCAAGTGTAATCAAATAATGAAACGCTGTAGAATACATAGTGTCACCAGATGCAATTTAATAGTAAAATGGTACCACTAACCAGTAAACATCCACCAGATTTATTTGCAATAGTAGCACTGACACTATTCCTTATTGAATACGGTGGGTCTGTCAAACATTCATATATAGAATTAGTTACTACACGAATTTATCATCTGTGCATTTCACATTCGGTGGGGGACTGTAATTCGCCGAATTGTCTTATTCAATTTTAATTGGCAATAAAATATATTAAAAGTAAAGTTAATTCAAAAGTTGGGGTATTGCCAAAGAAGATGTTAAAAAGCTAAAAGTGATAGAAAGTTGAGATCCGAAATGTTGCAATGGGGCTAGCAGATCAATGTTTGTCACTTCAATCCCCCCTTAGCAGAAGAAACAAATGCCCCCCCCCCCCCCCCCCCCCCGCAATTCTGCAGGGTGGCCTCACATCAGCGGCCTTATACGACCTAAATATAGTGGGATAGAGCAGGCTCAATCTTTCCAAACCTGCAAGGCAAACATTATAGTTAACTTCTTACCATCATGAAGTGGGATGAAACAGGCCAGCTATATTTTCTAACATTCCCCAAAACTCCAATGATTATTCCTAAGATATACCGATAAGTGAATGTACCATGTATGTGTAGCGGAACTGGGTCGGTCGTCGGCGACCAGGTAGCTCAATTGGTAGAGCGTCCGTCTAGTAATGTAGCGGAACTGGACTGGGTCGATGGTCCAATGACAGTTATTGTTGTGCTATATCTTATGTAACTTGTTTATCATTATATAATTGCATACCGTATAATACTCAAGTAATGATGAGCCGTGTTGTGCTAAAATTGATATCTGTATGTAAATTTAGATGACCAAAATGGAAATGCAGAATACGTACGCACCATTCCCCTTTTTCTATGAAGCAATATCAATTCAGTTTCAGTTACACCTGCTGCATATATCTATAATTATGGCACGGAATTAGATTAGAAAAGAGTTTTTTTTTTATATATTTTTGAATCAATTAGGTTATAATCAAACTGTGCTGTTCAAAATATGCAAATATTGTCCTTTGTCTGATTATAAGTTGACAAATATATGACAAGGAAAAAATGTCGAAAATGTACTATGCAGTCCATATACATGTATTGCACTGTATTTAAATAACAATTTCACTTTCTCAAACCTAATAACAAATAAGTGCACATAATATGGATAATACACGTACCGGCGATAGACCATTAAACCGTTAGATCATTTTACCTGTGCTTCCCACGCAGGAAAAAAATATTATTATGAAAATTTATCAAATTGGAAGTGATGTCATTGATGTGAGGCTTTACCATATATGGTTAATTCCCAGTTAGCACTACGCATGCGTCGATAATAATAACACAAGAAACATGGCGGTCGCAGGTCCTTCGGAGGGTTAGTTTGCCGATATTCGTCTTGATGATGGCGACCCAGAAACCCGGAGAATGGGTGCAGTCTCTCATAAACCGATTTGATGCACAGGTAAGATTGGCAAGCTATATTTTAGAAGACAAAGGCGGCAACTGAGCTCGAAGTGCCCAGCTGCATCACAAGCCTATCCTGTGAAAATTTATGAATGAATGTCATTTACCTTCGACGCGGTCACGTGGTAAAACTACATTGTTGGTCACAATTTTTCGGCATGTAACTCGTAAATTTGATGTAATGTGTGATTTTCGAGGTTTGATAATTGTGTTAGGATGTGTGTTTTTGACGATAACAGTGATGGGAGTCATGACATTGCAAGGGAAGAGCAGTACGCTGTGCGTGGGTGGGAGCCAAACCTCGCTTAGCGCTGTACTTCCAGTAGGTCAAACTTATCAATGGGATAAATGCGATCACAGTGTTTATATTGTGGCCACGCTCTACCGCCCACAAAATACACCTCGCCATGTGTATTATAGCCCACGTTTTTATGCATGACCTGGCAGTTTCCGGCTGATATTTTAAAAACGATATTTGCGTTTTTCGTAGCCCAGTACAAATATCGGTCATTATGATAATTATGTTTTTGTCAAAGGCTGTACACACTGGTACTGATGCTGAGTTTACCACAGATGCTGAAACTCAATATTGTCATGGTTACTTACACCATTGATGTGTCAGTCAGCTCGGGGGTTTGGAATCATTCTTAAAACTTCGAATATCTAAACAACAAAGGTTTTCATTTGTGGAAATTTGAGCTCCATTGATAATCCAATGTTGGCGATAGACTATGTCAAGGCAACTGTCATTTGCATAATTTCTGTCGCTTGTCATCTGAGCTGATCTCAATGAATCTATTTATCATAATGCAAAACTGTAATGTAGCAGATTTTTTGGAGTTATTTGATTACCAAAATAACAGATGCAAGTATTATTTGGTGCAAAAATTATAACAGGAAATAAAGCAGTTTCAAATAGATTTTAAGTGTTTTTGCAAATTAATTTTTAAGAATACGTTTTTTTTTTTGTGCTGTCAGCCTTTGTAATCAAAACAAAGATTTGTATTGAAATAAAATCTTTCGCCTTCTGAATGAAGATTTCATGGAAACAGTGCTGAATCAGTCCGCTACAATGAATTCATGTCGCAGTTAATTTATTTTCTGAGTTTTCCTATATGCATTCTCTATTTCCTGTCACTGTAAATATTGGAAGTTTCCATATTTATAAGCTGATCATAATTCTTTTTTTGTTGACTGCATCCGTACTGGCTAAGTGGTTTTTGTGGTCATGTACCAGTATACATATATATACATATATATATATATGAATGATATTTATAGATGCATGAGTGCATTGGGCAAGCTGGAAAGTGAAGTTTACGTTTCTGTTCATGGAAATAAAATAAAAATTATTGCTAATGTTTTATTTTTTGTAAATTACATGTAATATTCAGAAAACTGTGAATCCGTGTCCCTCTGCACAGTGTTTTCCTATATGCAGTAACCTCTTCTTTTCAATAACTTTTAGAGAAATTTAATAAACTTTTTATACTACAAGCTTAGCTGAAAGATGTACTTCATTAAGTGACTGGGGTCAAAACATATTAATGACCTGAAGTAAATTTTGATCGGCATAGGGCTTCGTAAGAAGATGAAGATGCAACCCACCCCCCCCAAAAAAAAGATTGGATTTTTTGTTAAATCTTTTTAAAAATCAGACTCTTGAATAATTCCCAAAATACCTATGGTATATTAATTCTGACACACTATATATATAAATAAAACATTGGTAAAATTGTTTTAGAAAATTTGATATATTTGCAGAATATTATTTTTTACCATCCTTCATCAATTTTTGAGGAGAGCCAGTAGTGGAAAAAACACATTTTGGTTATAACTGTAGCACAGTTTGGTCAGGACGCTTCTGGTGACCGGGTAGCTTGACCAGGTAGCTCAATCGCTTTGTGTGATAGTATACCAATCTGAAGTCAGGGGTTCAAATCTCCGTCTAGCTCTGACGATTTTAACACTCGGAACACTGTTATTGTATACATTTTGTTTATTTCATATATCTTTTCTCGTGAGTTTTGATTTTCTTTTTAGAAATGATTTATTAAAACCATATTCATTCCAAAAAAACAACAGTTTCCAATACTTAGTTACAATTTCTGATAGTGGAACGAGGATCCTTAATATTTGTTACAATTTCTGATAGTGGAACGAGGATCCTTAATATTTGTCATGCTTTGTGTCTTACATGTATAGTGTACATCTATATATGGTGTCATCCCTGTTTACTGATAGACAATTTATCTCCCATGTTTTTTCCCCTTAAGGTCCTGATAACTTTGATCTGTCTCAAGGTTATGCTGCAGATAATATATTAGTGTCATGTTCTAAAATGATGCACTGCTATATACACACATGTATATGGAAGTACATTATATATTGTAATATTACAAAAGTAATTATTTCAACTAAGATTCTAAAGAAAGATGCATAGCAAAAATATAAGTTTTCGTATTGAATTATTTATAGGGAATATTGCTATATATCACAATTTATTGCATTGTATTTCTTTAGAACAACCTTTGAAAAAAATCAAAAAGTGAAAATGTGTTCGGCATTTTCAATTGAAAATTATCTTGTATGGTTTTAGAAGTTATCACACCAAGGACGATAAATTTGGAAAATTCTGGCATTATTATTGCAGTAAGGTTATTTTTTTACCTCCTAAAACAAAATAAAAAATTAATGTTACATATTGCCGTTTCAAATTCTGTTGAAATGTGCCCGGTATATATTGCTGGACAAATATTATGATATATTGGTATTGCGATATTAGTGCCCACTGCTACTTAAATATATCAATACAGATTTGAAACTCAGGTTTTTTACATGGGTCAATCATACTGCAGAAGGATGACCTTTCATATTTTATATTTCTGATTTTAAGAATTTTCATATTTGGGTATGAGATTTATTTTATGTATGTTAAACTATTTACATATTTACTACCATTAATAATAAAATCATAGAATAAATAAATACATAGATTTAAAGGTAAAAACAGGTATATATTTTGTCATATTTAAGTTTTAAGCTAATTTGCTAATTAATTTTTGAACAACTGTGTCTCAAGGAAATATGGAAATGAAAACAGTTTAAGAACTGCATGTTGGACCTAGCAGTTTTTTTCCAAGTTTAAATTGTAAAATTGGATATTCTGCAGTGCATTTAAAAATAGAATACATGAATTTCATTATATGGTGATGAAATTTGATACCCATTAAAAGTCTGATTATTGATTAACTTGATGTAAATTGATAGATTCATGAAATTTGAAAATAACATCAATGCAGAAGGGAATAAAAAAAATCTTTTAAACAAATATATTGCATTGCATATATTGACTGAATTAAAAACAAGTATAAAACAGGTATATTATTGTTCATTTCAGGGCAGCCCTGAAATTGAAATTTGATTTTGAAATTGAAAGTATCAATTATCCATATCAAATTTAGTGTTCTATGCTTGTTATATATATAATTATTGTACATGAAATCAATTATACTAGAGATCTAGAGTAGATGCAGAGGTACCTGTCAAAAGTCAACATATTTCTTTTTAGAAAAAAAATTCTTTATAAAAATCAGAAAAGTGTCGCCTATAGGTCTATTCCCTCAGATATATTAATGATTTGAGTAATACAAGTACATTAAAAAAAAATAATGCATGTTTATGTATCTATACTAACATGATATTGCAACCATTTCTCCAGCAACAGTTTGTTGTTTTATAGGGGTTTGGCATTAATTATTGAGTTAAAGCATACATACAGTACAGTATAAATAAAAGTAGGGCTGTGATCACTATATATCGGTCAATAACTGGTAAATCACAAAACACAGACACACCATATCGTATCATATTGCAATACAGAAATGATAGTTCACTGTATCGCAATACTTTTCATAAGCTTACAAATTAAAGTTACTTTATGTATCCGCTAGGTGTTTTAACTTTGTCACTTGTTACACATTCTAACCAATATGCCAAATACCATACACATGCTTATACTAGAGGTGAAAATTGGCAGATATTTCATTATCGATTGTTGGTTTCTAACAAAAACATTTTACCAGGTAAGTATGTGTTATCTACCCAGTATATTATATTTGGTTCACTCTGATATCATTCTGACAGAAATTTCTTTTAAAATTGAGAACCTTTTCCCTATGACAATATATTGGGATACGTATCTCAGTACATTCCATGCATCTGTATTGCAATATATTGGGATACACTCCAGGTGCATTGTGACACCCCTGGTATAAAGGACTTGTATAAAAAGGGGAAAAGGGAATATTGAGTTGAAATGAGTCGAGATGTAAATAAAATGTTGGCTTTATATGAATGGCCAACTGTATGCCTCTATATTTTCATCTGCTCAGGGGCCGAAACTAACTCCTTTTGCAAAAACTGACTATTTTTCGCGACTGGAAATGTTTTGCAAGTGACTAAAACAATTAATTTATCCATGCAGAAACTCATTTGCAAAACTTCATATTCTTTTCATCAGATATAACATATAGTAAATGAACATGGAAAACATGTACTTTATTAGACAAATAATCCATAATTCATATAGTACTTTAATGACTTTTAGAGGTAACTTCTTTGTGAATATTAATATTTAATTTTTCAGAGAGGCAAAAAATCTTCATTTTGCGAGTGAGGGATATGTTTTAACTAACATGCTGAAATTAACATGTATTTCGGTAGTAGAGAGGTGTTAGTTTCAAACCCATTGGTGTTGTTAGTACTAAATATTTTTACAGCTTCCTATAAAAACTGATGTGTTCGCTTCAAACCCTTTTGTTACATTAGTATTTTATTAGCTCACCGAGTCCGAGGGACCAAGGTGAGCTTATACCATACTGTGGCGTCCGTCGTCCGTCTGTCAACAATTTCTTTAAATGACTTCTTCTTAACCACTAACGGAATTTAACTAAATTTGACTGGAATCATCCCTAGGTGGTGTGGATTCAAAATTGTTCAAATGGTTGGGCTGACCCCCCAGGGGGCTGAGGGCTGGGCCAAAAGGGGGCAATTTGGCTATATTGCTAAAAACGACTTCTTCCGTAGAACTATACCATGGATATTGATCATATTTGGTCGGAAGCATTAATGGGAGGCAGGGATTCAAATTTGTACAAATGGTGGGGCTGACCCCCCGGGCTAAGGGATGGGGCCAAAAAAAATATTACTTGGAAATGGTTGAGATCCCCACCATATAACCATATATACAATTGCTGAGTATAAAGAGAGGAATCCACATTTGCTTCCAGGATGGCGCTAGGGTCTGGACCCACCCTTGGAGACTTAACCCCTGGGTCATAACTTTGAAACGGTTGAGATCCCCAACCCAAAACTATATATACAATTGTTGGGCATAAAGAGACGAATGCGGTCATGATATTAGAATTGACCCCAAGGTCTGCCCCACCCTTGCAGACATAACCCCTGGGTCATAACTTTGGAACGGTTAAGATCCCCACCCCAAAACTATATATACAAATGCTGGGCAAAAAGAGACAAATGCAGTCATGATATTAGAATTGACCCCAAGGTCTGCCCCACCCTTGCAGACATAACCCCTGGGTCATAACTTTGGAACGGTTAAGATCCCCACCCCAAAACTATATATACAATTTTTGGGCATAAAGAGACGAATGCGGTCATGATATTAGAATTGACCCCCGGGTCTGCCCCACCCTTGCAGACATAACCCCTGGGTCATAACTTTGAAACGGTTGAGATCCCCAACCCAAAACTATATATACAATTGTTGGGCATAAAGAGACGAATGCGGTCATGATATTAGAATTGATCCTGGGGTCTGGCCACAACCCTAGGGACCTAGTTTCTGAGTCAGAGCTTGGAAACAGTTGAGATCCCCACCCAATAACCATACATAAAATTGCTGGGCATAAAATATCAAATACAGATATGTTACAAGGATTTGCCTTGGGGTCTGGCATATTTGCTTGGATCTCATTTGGAGAATATTTTGCCATGATTGCTTAGATATCCAGGTGAGCGATACAGGCCGTCTGGGCCTCTTGTCTTTTTGCAGCTTCTTATATTCAAACCCTATCGTTACGTTCATATTTTGTCTTTTTACAGCTTCCTATAAGAACCGATGTGTTCGTTTCAAACCCTTTCGTTATGTTATTATTGTTATTGTCTTTCAGCTTCCTATAAAAACTGGTCTACACTCAACGCAGTCCATGCAAAATGTAGAGCAGAATAAGGAATGTCTGATAAACGTGAGCCGACACAAGTTCCGAGAGGTCATCAACGGGCTGACCAAGACGCTCGGATCAGTATCCACCACAGTAAGTACTGTATTGGTTCTCGCAGCAGTCAAACCACCGAGCCCGTTTGGGTATATACGTACCGTTAGGTTTGTGTGCCCTCTCCACTCGTAATAATAATTGAAATAATTGAATTGCATATACAAAGTGTTGGATGGTTTATATGTATTCAAAGATGCTGAAAGCCCAGTTAACTCATGATATGCTGATTCTTCAGTAATTCCTCATCAAAGCTATATATATATATATATGTATTGCTTGAGGTAAAGTGAAAGTTCTCCCAGGACAATTTTGGCAAAAAACCCCCAAAAAAAACATTAACTGACCTACAAATTTGTTATTGTTACTGTAAATGTATCATCATTTGCATAAATATGGCTTCTTCATTTAATAATATTAAAAGCTTGCAGATCTAGAATATCATAGATTGTTATATCAGTTACTCTTACATAAATAGATATTTTTTTTATCACATTTTTTTTTTTTTATGCCGATCAGTTTTTTGTAATATTTGGACTAAAATGTGATTGATTGTCTCCTTCAGCGCATCCATGGCCCGGAGGCGGAGCGGAATTATTACGAGTCTCAGCTCATCATCCTAGATACACTAGAGAAAGTGCTCACGTCAGTAAGTGTTGTGTCAAGATCTTGAGTGATCAAGGCCGTGGCGGAGTTGTCTCTTGGTCGCGTACGTGTTGTCCCAGTAGATTGATCTACAAATGCTTGAATGTGGGCGTACGTTGTCAAGTACTTGTTAAGTGGTGGGTAAAACCAGGCTTTGTGAGTTGTATTTCGTCATTCATAAATCTGAAACTAATATTATTTTTAATTTCTTTGTTTAGATGTGATGGGGCCTGTAACAGTTTCATTCATAATAATTTGATTCTAATTTATAAAATTGGAGAGGAAAAAAAAGAGAGAACAAATGTAAATAATTGTAATTAGGAAATATAAATAAAATTTAAAAAAAAGTAGTTTTATTCATACTTGTATTTTGTAACAAGATATTGTTTATTATCTTTTATTAGTGCTAAGGATTTATTTGATATGTAAAATAAGCAACTGGTTAATTGATTTATCAGAATTTCTTTAGCTTACGATATTGGTGGTCTTTGTTCCTTGCAGCAACCCAAAGACACATCAAGACTGGATGAAGCTATCTATGTGAAACTGTTACTACCTGAAATCTGTAAGGTAAGATTCCTTTGTCTTTTAAAAGTTTCTGAACCAGTTTAACTAGGAATATTTCGAAAGATTTTCAGAGGGATGGAAAAAAACCCTGTATAAAATGTAAATTTGAGGGGAAAAAATGGAACCATTCAATTCACTGGTCTTCATTATTTTTTCTTCATGTACTAAAATAAATTCACAAGAAGGGGTTTACTTTTACCTCTAAAGTACCTGAAAAACACTGCAATCCCTAACCATGTTTATTTCAATTTTCAACCATGAAATCTATAACCATTGGAATACATTTTGAATGACCGAAGGGTTCCGGGTTCCAGGTTCTAGTCACGGCACGGCACTGTGTTGTATCTTTGAGCAAGATACTTTACTCCGCTTTTTCCACTCTACTCAGCTGTAAATGAGTATGTAGTTGGGAAGTGCTAGAATTGTTGAATGCTAGCTGTTTAAGTGCCGAAATGGCAGCTCCGGCTGTATGCTCCCCAGGGAGTGGAGAAAGATATTGGCTGGTTGCAAAGGCCCTATAACTACGAATAATAATTTGTGAACCTCTTTGAGACGACCTACGAACTAGGTTGTGATAAAGCAGTATATAAAAACCTCATTATTATTATTATTATTATATAGAGGAATCTTGATTCCTTGGATTGAAATGTCTGACTTGGTGACACAGAAATTAATTGATATCTTTGCATACATATCAAGTCATTTCATTCTTGTTTTTCCTTTTTTTCAGTTTCTCAACCAACAAAATGAAAATACCTTAATTTCAAATCTTAAGATTTTGTCGTCAAAGGTCCTGTTTGCTTTAAGTCTTAACAACTTCACAGCCGTCTTCAACAGGATATCTGCCAAGTAAGTATACTGGGAACTCGCTAGCCTCTACACTAAGGGTATATATAGCTAAGGTCAAAAAACAAAATGTGTGTTTCAGGTATCCTGACCTACCCTAGATTTTAATGCCGACCTTAGATATTTTTTCACCTACTTGTATCTAAAATCAATTTATTATCCAGGCAAAATTCACAGCCACTCATTAAAATGTATGTTCTTCCTGTTCTGGGAGTCTGACCTTATTCTTGACAAATTAATAGCCGTTGTAAAATTTTAAAAATAAAAAATTAATAACATTAAAATAAAATCATTTTCCTACAGACACACCCTATTTTTTCAGGCATGTTACCTGAAACAAAAATATATATTTTTTTGGCCTAAAGACTCTTGAGTTATAAATGACAGACTGTAAAAGATTATCATAGATACAATTAATAATTTGTAATAGGTTTAGGTTGTTTTGTAAATGGAGGATGTGAGGGGCATTTACCCTCAACTGGATGGGTTATGAGTTGGTACAAAGTTGGGCACGAATCACAACAGCTTCAGGTCCAGTATGTAGAAGCTAGATTGAGGGGCGAAACTAGTCGACCAGTACTTAATAAGTTTAAAGAACCTTCCCAGAAAGATTGATTCCCTACTTTCATTCTGATAATACTTCACATTGAAAATTATTTCATTTGTGTTTATTAGATGTAAAAGTTAGGCATTCTAAATCAAATGATTGATTTTTCACCTTAACTAGGTCCAATTGTTTACAATTTTATGTAACGTGAACGACCTCTCTGATCATGAGCTATATATACAACAACTACAAAGGGACAATACATGTAACAACCGGAAGTGAAATCTATAATTATAATAATAACACTTATGAGTCCAGCGAAGAGAATCCATCTTAGAATGGAACCTGTGCTGGAAAATATCATTAAGTATATGAATGGATATTTTTTGTCCTGGACGTGTTTAAAATATATTTAGACAATATTTATTGTACACGTATGTATGAATTGATATCAGGCTAAAAGTAATACTATTTGTCCGAACGCATTACAAAATGTATCAAAATGCCTCCAAAAAGTTTGATCTCTAGATTAACAGGATTATATATAGAAAATGGTTGTTTTGATATTTTTCGCATATTATATCGTTTTAAGCCTTTATCCATTAGCCGATTAAACTGATGCCGCTGTAGTGTGCTACTTATACTGTATAGCGGGATGTTTCTGTAGGAATGGTATTTTTCACAATTTTGCAGGTCAATAACGTGATCACGAAAATATGATCCGCAAAATAATATGAAAATTGTAAAATGAGCCGTGTTAATACACTTCATTTATTATACCGTAATAGCGAGAATGTGGTATTAAAATATTCATTTACACCTAGAGCAGTATCAGATGTTTGAAAATAGATTATATTATATTATTATTATAGATTATATATTGCACATTTAACGGTTTTCTTGATTTGTTTAACAAAATACATTGACATGTTGTTGCTCAATATGCTGCCGTAATAAAATGTATTCATTTGACCATTTCACGCTTTTTATGCCATGTGTCCCGTCTCTGTGCTAAAATACAGCGAAAATTTAATTCCTTCATATGTCTAGATTGTGAAATTATAATCTATGTAAATTTAATTATCTTATTTTTGGGCAAAATTGTGGTGAAAATTTAAGCCCGCCTAAATAACCCGCTTTTTGGTATATTTGTCTTGATGAGAGCTGTATCAGAATTTGACCATTGTCGTACAGTTGTCTTGTGGTGAATATATATGTAATATTGACATGCAAGCTGTATATATATATGTACTTGTGAAATATATATTTTATGGTTTGATATTTCAGGTTAATGACCCTGTCTGGTTGTAGCGATGACCAGTCCGACCTCTCCGACCTTGAACTTATCCAGCACATCAATGTGGACATCCATCGACTCATCAAACTTATTATTGGTCAGTATGATTGATTTTTTTTGAGAAATAGAAACATTTGTTGAAAACTCAGCTAGCACAATGATATATAATGTCTTCAGAAATATTGAAACGGAAACTTTGAAAGTTTTAATAATGAAGTAATATGGGTTTTTGATATTGTGTATGTTTCCAAGATTTGTTCCAGCAAAGTTGTAGAATGTGTATAATATTCTATGTTCAGTATGTTTTAATCATGTTGCTCCTGTGGTAGTGCTGCCAAATTTTTGAGGAATGTATCAGTTACTTATTTTTTCCTACTTTCCATAGCAGAAAATGCTCTGAAAAATTAATGTACTGTATTTAACTTTCTTGGAAATGAATTTTACATTAAACAAAGCAGAAGTTTTAGTTGATATATACTATGGGTAAACCACACTCTCTCCAATCTGAATTTGTTCTTTATCAGGTAAAGAATTTTGATTTGGCCAATGAAAATTTAACAGGTCAACTCTCTACAATCCAAAACTCTAGATGCAAATTGACCAAATTATCAGGTTCAAGGGGTGTCTTGTTTAGATTGAATACACTGTTTTAAGTAAATGTATATAAACATAGTGACGTAACCCATGCTATTTTTACAGAGGTTGTGTCCAAGTTCAAATTACTCAAGTCAAAGCAGGTCATCTTGACTCTGGCCTCGAATCTAGAGAAGGTCAGTATAAAGCAATGTATAAAATAACTCTACAGTTAAACTTTGATATAATGTCCCTCCTTTAATATGCCACCTCACTTACTGCCATTATATTTCAAGATCCTTTTTTCCACAACTATTCCTGTATATGTTTCTCTTGATGTATATAGTAATAAAACATATAGAAATATAAACTATAAACCTATGTTTTGTTTTTGTAACCAAATATACTTGAACATGCTAGGCCTATATTCATGCAATAATAGATACTGATATAGTAAAATAAAATATTGTCATTTATTTTGAATAATACTTTAAAAAAAACAATTTTTCTTTGCGTTCATTTTAAAGTTATTTTAATCTGGAGAGTTCTCAGAAATTTGCATCAATGATTTTATTTTTTCAGGCAATATGGAACTGGATGGATAATTACCCAGAGGAGTTCACGGATCTGCAGAAAAAACCAAATGAAGATTTACAAGGTAATACAGTCTCAAAAGTTTTGTGAATATATATATAGCAAATTTTCCCAATGCAAAAGGCACATGGCCCTGTGGAAAGAAAGTCGAAAAATCACTGGTGAAACTGTTTCATCAAAATATGTAGTCAGAACTGGTTTGGTATCACTATAAATATATAAGTAACATTATATGAAACCACCATCCAAGTGACAGAGTATTTTAGGAAAACATGATATTAACTGATATGTGATATTAAATGATGTGACATTAAGTGGAATAAAAATTGTAACTAAATTAAACAAGTGATATTTTTGTCGATAAAATGGAATTATATGAGAACTTTGGGAGTAAAGTCATACTTTTCTAAATTTTATTTTTAAACAGATTTTGGCCATCTACAGCATAATAAGGGTTGAACACAATAGTAAATTACAATATCTTTTGTCATTGGTTTATAAATGTTGTTGCTTTATTTTTTGGTTATTATTGCAGATTGCTGTGATAAACTGTTTGAGCATTTCAATACCTGTATGGAGAGTTCAAAGAAGAAGGCAGCTGCCAACTGGCCACTACAGATGATGCTACTTGTACTCTGTCCTGTAAGTGTTGACCTCACGATGACCAGTTGTAGGTGTTAAATGACCACTGACAGGTGGCCTGTAAGTGTTGACCTCACGATGACCAGTTGTATGTGTAAAATGACCACTGACAGGTGTCCTGTAAGTGTTGGCCTCACAATGACCAGTTGTAGGCGTTAAATGACCACTAACAGGTGTCCTGTAAGTGTTGACCTCACGATGACCAGTTGTATGTGTTAAATGACCACTAACAGGTGTCCTGTAAGTGTTGACCTAATGTTGTTGCTTTATTTTTTGGTTATTATTGCAGATTGCTGTTATAAACTGTTGGAGCATTTCAATACCTGTATGGAGAGTTCAAAGAAGAAGGCAGCTGCCAACTGGCCACTACAGATGATGCTACTTGTACTCCGTCCTGTAAGTGTTGACCTCACGATGACCAGTTGTATGTGTAAAATGACCACTGACAGGTGTCCTGTAAGTGTTGGCCTCACAATGACCAGTTGTAGGCGTTAAATGACCACTAACAGGTGTCCTGTAAGTGTTGACCTAATGTTGTTGCTTTATTTTTTGGTTATTATTGCAGATTGCTGTTATAAACTGTTGGAGCATTTCAATACCTGTATGGAGAGTTCAAAGAAGAAGGCAGCTGCCAACTGGCCACTACAGATGATGCTACTTGTACTCTGTCCTGTAAGTTTTGACCTCACGATGACCAGTTGTAGGTGTTAAATGACGACTGACAGGTGTCCTGTAAGTGTTGACCTCACGATGGCCAGTTGTAGGTGTTAAAATGACCACTGACAGGTGTCCTGTAAGTGTCGACCTCACAATGACCAGTTGTAGGTGTTAAATGACCACTAACAGGTGTCCTGTAAGTGTTGACCTAATGTTGTTGCTTTATTTTTTGGTTATTATTGCAGATTGCTGTTATAAACTGTTGGAGCATTTCAATACCTGTATGGAGAGTTCAAAGAAGAAGGCAGCTGCCAACTGGCCACTACAGATGATGCTACTTGTACTCCGTCCTGTAAGTGTTGACCTCACGATGACCAGTTGTATGTGTAAAATGACCACTGACAGGTGTCCTGTAAGTGTTGACCTAACAATGACCATTTGTAGGTGTTAAATGACGTAGGCGTTAAATGACCACTAGCAGGTGTCCTGTAAGTGTTGACCTCACAATGACCAGTTGTATGTGTAAAATGACCACTGACAGGGGTCCTGTAAGTGTTGACCTCACGATGACCAGTTGTATGTGTAAAATGACCACTGACAGGGGTCCTGTAAGTGTTGACCTCACGATGACCAGTTGTAGGTGTTAAATGACCACTGACAGGTGGCCTGTAAGTGTTGACCTCACGATGACCAGTTGTAGGCGTTAAATGACCACTGACAGGTGTCCTGTAAGTGTTGACCTCACGATGGCCAGTTGTAGGTGTTAAAATGACCACTGACAGGTGTCCTGTAAGTGTTGACCTAACAATGACCATTTGTAGGTGTTAAATGACCACTAACAGGTGTCCTGTAAGTGTTGACCTCACGATGAACAGTTGTAGGTGTTAAATGACCACTGACAGGTGTCCCGTAAGTGTTGACCTCACAATGACCAGTTGTAGGCATTAAATGACCACTGACAGGTGTCCTGGAAGTGTTGACCTCACAATGACCAGTTGTATGTGTAAAATGCCCACTGACAGGTGTCCTGTAAGTGTTGACCTCACAATGTCCAGTTGTAGGTGTTAAATGACCACTGACAGGTGTCCCGTAAGTGTTGACCTCACAATGACCAGTTGTAGGCGTTAAATGACCACTAACAGGTGTCCTGTAAGTGTTGACCTAATGTTGTTGCTTTATTTTTTGGTTATTATTGCAGATTGCTGTTATAAACTGTTGGAGCATTTCAATACCTGTATGGAGAGTTCAAAGAAGAAGGCAGCTGCCAACTGGCCACTACAGATGATGCTACTTGTACTCTGTCCTGTAAGTTTTGACCTCACGATGACCAGTTGTAGGTGTTAAAATGACCACTGACAGGTGTCCTGTAAGTGTCGACCTCACAATGACCAGTTGTAGGTGTTAAATGACCACTAACAGGTGTCCTGTTAGTGTTGACCTTACGATGACCAGTTGTAGGTGTTAAATGACCACTGACAGGTGTCCTGTAAGTGTTGACCTCACGATGACCAGTTGTAGGTGTTAAATGACAACTGACAGGTGTCCTGTAAGTGTTGACCTCACGATGACCAGTGACCTCACAATGACCAGTTGTAGGTGTTAAATGACCATTGACAGGTGTCCTGTAAGTGTTGACCTAACAATGACCATTTGTAGGTGTTAAATGACCACTAACTGACCACTAGCAGGTGTCCTGTAAGTGTTGACCTCACAATGACCAGTTGTAGGCGTTAAATGACCACTAGCAGGTGTCCTGTAAGTGTTGACCTCACAATGACCAGCTGTAGGTGTTAAATGACCACTGACAGGTGTCCTGTAAGTGTTGACCTAACAATGACCATTTGTAGGTGTTAAATGACCACTAACAGGTGTCCTGTAAGTGTTGACCTCACGATGACATATTGTAGGTGTAAAATTACCACTGACAGGTTCAAGTAAGTGATGACCTCATAATGACCAACTGTAGGTGTAAAATTCCCTCTTACAGATGACCTGTAAGTGTTGACCTAATGATGACAACTGAAAGGATTTAAGTAAGTGTTGACCTCACGATGACCAGTTGTAGGTGTAAAATGACCACTGACAGGTGTCCTGTAAGTGTTGACCTCACGATGACCTATTGTAGGTGTAAAATTACCACTGACAGGTTCAAGTAAGTGTTGACCTCATAATGACCAACTGTAGGTGTAAAATTACCTCTTACAGATGACCTGTAAGTGTTGACCTCATGATGACCACTGACAGGATTTAAGTAAGTGTTGACCTCACGATGACCAGTTGTAGGTGTAAAAAAGACCACTAACAAATGTCCTGTAAGTGTTGACCTCACGATGACCTATTGTAGGTGTTAAAATGACCACTGACAGGTGTTCTGTAAGTCTTGACGTCACGATGACCAATTGTAGGTGCAAAATGACCTCTTATAGATGTCTAGTAAGTCTTGACCTCATGATGACTAATTGTAGGTGTAAAATGACCGCTGACAGGTGATATTTCTTGTCTTTTGTAAGCATGAACTGTGATGTTCTGGTTTGACCTCTTATAGTAATATTTTTGTTTGCTGGTCATTTCGGTTGCTTACAGTGTTCCTGATCTTCAATGGCTGGCGACCTTCAGATACGACCTCTTATTTGTAAAACACCTGTCCACTGGTCACTACAAAAAGTTTGCCTTTTGATCACTACGAGGAGTGTAATTGGTCATCTTGATATGATATGTAGTTGCAAAATAACAAGATATATTTTTGTTAACATGTACAGTGTATGCATGATCTGTTGATCTATTGGACCTGATTAGAATAATATATTGTTTTCAGAAAATTTTGGAAGAAATAAACAATGCTGATGGTGGGGCTCCGTGCTCTCCCCAGCACGTGAAAAAGGTAATAAATACATTTTATGGATTCATAGACTCTCGACAAGACATTGAATGAGTTTTATCATTTTGAAGTATCAAATAAAAGGGTGGGGAAATGTTCGTTGCAGTTTAATTTTCACCCTACGCAATAAAGGTGAATTTATCGTAACAGCAAATATTGGTACATAGTTTACAACATATAGAAGTTACATGTGACGGGCAAAATTTACACAGGGGGGGAAAAAATAGACTTTAGCAGTGAAGGGCAAATATTTGCCTGGGCGAACATTTCTGGGCATACTGTAATGAGATACCAGTATAACTTCAAGTATGCATAAAAATTCCTGTTCAACAATTAACACAACTACCAATGTAGTAATGATTGATTAAATTCTGACCTTTATTAATTGATTTTATCCAGAAACAATTCATAGATGATGTAAAGAAAGCGATATCGCCTCACCATGGCGGGAGTAAACAATTGGCTGAGGGTGCGGCTGTGACTTGTGTGCGTCTGTGTAAGGCGTCTACCTACATCAGTATCAACGACCGACTCAACGTCCTCTTCTCCCTAGTACAGTCGGTCATCAGTGACCTCAAGGTGAGATTGACCGCCTCTGTACTCGCCAGCTCTTCAGTAGGATTAAGAGAGGCACTGATATTGACATTCGATAAGAAACATTTATAAAGATTTTGTTTGCGATATTATGCCCTAGGAAAAGTTGAAATTTAAAAGAAAAGTTTTCATCCAAATTTTCTTAATCTAATTTACTTTAACAATTTCATCCCTATGTAACTTTAGTAGACTTGTCCATGCATTGAAATGGAAGAGTCCATTATGGTCTACAGTGGTGAAAGGGTTAAACATTCTGTTTTAAGCAGAATTTTTCGTGAATTATCAGCTTTCAACATATAATATGTGCATTGAGAAATTAGTGCACTTACAACATATGCAAAAGAAAACTTTATACAGAAACTTATAATTTGGGCTATCATGATTTAGTGCATTGAAAGTACTAAAAGTAGACTATAGCTAAAACATGTATGTTTACAATATTTCTTATTGTAGCTAAATTAAATATTTGTAATATGAATGATTTGTAATTAGATAGAAGTTTTGATGTTTTACTGAAAGTACAGCTTGCCTAAGAATTACGTAATTTTAAAAAACTGTTTAATATTTTCTTTTTGTTTTCTCAGACGTTGCTGTTTAACCCACCTCCGAATAGTAAGCCATTCTCGCGCAGTCAGAGCAGCATTGGCCTTGACCTCGATCTATATATAGATTGCTTCGTATCCTGTTTCCGTGTGACACCACATAACAATGACGTGCTGAAGGTGTGTCTGAACCCATTGTCTCCTCCCGTCTATCACTGTGTGCTGGTCAACGCTCTTCACCGCATCATCACACAGGTAATGGCCAATTAGGGTCAGGTGTCAAAGGTCATTGGCAAGTGACTAGGTGTCAGAGGTCGCAGGTAGGTAGGTCACTAGGTATTAAAAGTTACTGTTCGGGTCAGGTTTCAAGAGTTCACTGGTAAGTCTCAGGTGTCAGAGGTCACTGGTAGGTCTCTATGTGGCAGAGGTCACTGGTAGGTCACAGGTGGCAGAGGTCACTGGAAAGTGGTAGGTCACTAGGTGTCGGAGGTCGCAGGTAAATCACTAGGTATCAAAAGTTACTGGTAGGGTCAGGTTTCAAGAGTTCATTGGTAGGTCACTAGGTGTCAGAGGTCACTGGTAGGTCACTAGGTGTCAGAGGTCACTGGTAGGTCACTAGGTGTCAGAGGTCACTGGCAGTGTCTCTGTTTAGTCAGTGATGAAGAAACCACTTTGTAGTGTTTTGTTGGTCATTGACATGTCTGTAGTCCTGTGTCTGTGGTGTTTTGTTGGTCATTGACATGTCTGTAGTCCTGTGTCTGTGGTGTTTTGTTGGTCATTGACATGCCCGGAGTCCTGTGTCTGTGGTGTTTTGTTGGTCATTGACATGCCCGGAGTCCTGTGTCTGTGGTGTTTTGTTGGTCATTGACATGCCCGGAGTCCTGTGTCTGTGGTGTTTTGTTGGTCATTGACATGCCCGGAGTCCTGTGTCTGTGGTGTTTTGTTGGTCATTGACATGCCCGGAGTCCTGTGTCTGTGGTGTTTTGTTGGTCATTGACATGCCCGGAGTCCTGTGTCTGTGGTGTTTTGTTGGTCATTGACATGCCCGGAGTCCTGTGTCTGTGGTGTTTTGTTGGTCATTGACATGCCCGGAGTCCTGTGTCTGTGGTGTTTTGTTGGTCATTGACATGCCCGGAGTCCTGTGTCTGTGGTGTTTTGTTGGTCATTGACATGCCCGGAGTCCTGTGTCTGTGGTGTTTTGTTGGTCATTGACATGCCTGGAGTCCTGTGTCTGTGGTGTTTTGTTGGTCATTGACATGCCCGGAGTCCTGTGTCTGTGGTGTTTTGTTGGTCATTGACATGCCCGGAGTCCTGTGTCTGTGGTGTTTTGTTGGTCATTGACATGTCTGTAGTCCTGTGTCTGTGGTGTTTTGTTGGTCATTGACAAGCCCGGAGTCCTGTGTCTGTGGTGCCAGAGGCCAGTTACGTGTCCTCAGTAACAGACAGGTTATTAGCTGATGGGCATAGCCTAGCAGCTTATACTATTGAGCAAGAAGAGAAAGGCTTGTGTACAAGATAACTGAAAAAATAGGGCTGTTATAATTCATCTTTTGCAAATCTTATTGCACAGGGCTTAGACCGAACCCTCACAAGCTTTGTGGCTATTGGCCTGTTGTATTTTACTGTCTTAGTTTTGTCAGTTCACTTAGGATAGGGTTTCATATGCATGATGAAACAAATGGTTTTATTTGATGTCCTGTTGGTTAGAGAAAATAAACATCAGCCTAGGACTGTGAAAAAGACAACTATGGGGATGACTTATCAGATTTTTTAGTGAAACTGTATACAAGGAAATTTTCACTGCAATTTAAACGCTATTGGTCATAATGAGGTTAAATTTATCCTGCAAGTCTATAATGATGTACAATGTACAATGTACAATATATTGTATATAGTCATTACATGTGGCGAGTGAAAGCTTCCCAGTAAACAGTTTATCCTATGGAGTAAAAGCTTCCCAGTAAACAGTTTATGCTATGGAGTGAAAGCTTCCCAGTAAGCAGTTTATCCTATGGAGTAAAAACTTCCCAGTAAACAGTTTATCATATGGAGTGAAAGTTTCCCAGTAAACAGTTTATCCTACGGAGTAAAAGCTTCCCAGTTAACAGTTTATCCTATGGAGAGAAAGCTTCCTAGTAAACAGTTTATCCCATGGAGTGAAAGTTTCCCAGTAAACAGTTTATTCTATGGAGTAAAAGCTTCCCAGTTAACAGTTTATCCTATGGAGTGAAAGCTTCCTAGTAAACAGTTTATCCCATGGAGTAAAAGCTTCCCAGTTAACAGTTTATCCTATGGAGAGAAAGCTTCCTAGTAAACAGTTTATCCTATGGAGTAAAAACTTCCCAGTAAACAGTTTAACCTATGGAGTAAAAGCTTCTCAGTAAACAGTTTATCCTACGGAGTAAAAGCTTCCCAGTTAACAGTTTATCCTATGGAGTGAAAGCTTCCTAGTAAACAGTTTATCCTATGGAGTGAAAGCTTCCCAGTAAACAGTTTATTCTATGGAGTAAAAGCTTCCAAGTAAACAGTTTATCCTATGGAGTAAACGCCTCCCAGTAAACAGTTTATCCTATGGAGTGAAAGCTTCCTAGTAAACAGTTTATCCTATGGAGTAAAAGCTTCCCAGTACACAGTTTATCCTATGCAATAAAGTGTTATAATTGTGGACTGTGTATTTTGTTTTATATCAAAATAGTGAAAAAAGTTATTTTGCTCCTTCCCTCTTTTCTCATCCCCTCTTTTTAAATGTGTAGACTATAAGAATGTTAGCTTATTGATGTAAACTATTAATCAAACAAAATAAAATAGTTCCACGTATCTAAATGAAACGTTTGTTTTTGTAGCCGCGCTTGCCCTGGTGGCCAAACATCAACATTATCTACAGTAAGGCGGCTGAGCTGAGGAGTATGTTTACCGACACACTCAACAAAGTCACCCAAGGAATGGCCAGTCATAACGCACCCAAAGGCACCACCCTCCCATACGTACATGTAAGTCATAAGTCATACCACACCCAAAGTCACCACCTCCCATACGTACATGTAAGTCATACCACACCCAATGTCACCACCCTCCCATACATACATGTAAGTCATACCACACCCAAAGTCACCACCTCCCATACATACATGTAAGTCATACCACACCCAAAGTCACCACCCTCCCATACATACATGTAAGTCATACCACACCCAAAGTCACCACCTCCCATACATACATGTAAGTCATACCACACCCAAAGT